ATTTTTGGTAGAGACAGGGTTTCACCATGTTGGCCAGGCTGGTCTCGAACTTCCGACCTCAGGTGATCCACCTGCCTCGGCCTCCCAAAGTGTTGGGATTACAGGCATGAGCCAATGTGCCCAGCGAGAATGGCTATTATTAAAAAGTCAGAAAATAGCACATGCTGGCAAAGTTGTGGACAAAAGGAAAGCCTTACATACACTGCTGGTGGGAATGTAAATTAGTTCAGCCATTGTGGAATGCAGTTTGGTGATTTCTCAAAGAACTTAAAACAGAATTACCATTCAACCCAGTAATCCCATTTTTGGGTATATACCCAAAGGAATATAAATCATTCTACCATAAAGACATATGCATGGCCAGGCACAGTGGCTCACGCCTGTAATCCCAGCACTTTGGAAGGCCAAGGCGGGCAGATCACTTGAGGTCAGGAATTTGATACCAGCCTGGCCAACATGGTGAAACCATATACTAAAAATACTAAAATACAAAAAATAAAAATACAAAATTAGCTGGGAATGGTTGGGGCCACCTGTAATCCCAGCTGCTAGGGAGGTGGAGGCAGGAGAATCGCTTGAACCCGGGAGCAGAGATCACGGAGGGAGGGAGGGAGGAAGGAAGCACTAGCTCACATATACCAACACCATGGAATACTGATGCAAGCCATAAAAAACGAATGAGAATCTATGTCTTCCCCTGTGGAAACCGGATAAGCTGGAGGCCTATCTTTACAAACTATACGCAAGAACAGAAAACCAAATGCCATATGTTCTCACTGTAAGGGAAGCGAAATATAGAGAACTCAATGAACACAAAAAGGGAAACACACAGACACGGGCCTTACTCTGGGATTGGAGAGGGAGAGGCGGGACACGTAAGGAGCAGAGAATAAAAATAACTATTAGGGTACAGCTTTAGTACCAGGTGCTGAGAATAACTTATATTACAAACCCCTGTGACATAAGTCAAATACGCAAACCTGCACATGTAATGCTCTGAACCTAAAAGTAAAAAAAAACAAAAAGACACATCACTTTCTGTGTACTTCTGCCAAAAATGCGCAC